GTTCACCAATTATTATTGTTGATCCGTTAGCGACAATGTAGAATGAACGCACGGTGTGAAACGGGGTCGTTGAGACCAGCTCCATTAAGCGGCAGTAGAATTTAAGATTGTGTAGGCAGTTCTAATCTGAATAGATGTGTAGTGCGACAGCGTCTGTTGACATGTTGCTCACACGGTTTCGCTGCGTGTTGCTTAGGCCTCCAGATATTTCAGTATAGCTTTGTACTTACAAGAAAGAAGTAGTGTAATGTACGCAATATTGTATGACGGATGGCCGTTAAGCTTGCTGTAGAAAGGATTATACGCCTGCACGCTAAGACTTATTGGACAATGAAGTACAGCCAATGACATTACGTTTTTGTGAAGCACATAGCTAGTGTTTTCATGAGTTGTCCTCAATACAAGGGGTGGCGGTTCCGTGGGGAAGAAAGGAACTCAAACAAACCAAAGGCGCTAGCACGAGATGATAATTATCGCGCATTATCGAGGTTGCCTTTATGATATTTTTGGAAATTTATCCATACGTCCTCGATTCCCTCTTCACCGTTGTTTCGTACATTGATACTCTAAACCGTATTATTATATCTCTGCACTGTTGGTTTTCTTCCCTCCCATGGTCAAACCTCGTCGTCTACTTTCTATAGTGAGTAAAGAAGCACGCTGGTTGAACACCGGAACAGTTTGTTTCTTATTCTGAGTGTTCGCACTCGTTCAGGCGTGCATCCTCAGAGATAGCAGCAGCAAATACAAGGGTACACTTATACGGGTACAAACCAATAAATGTCAAGTCTGAAGGTGACTGTGCAGAGCTCTTTGTGCCAGCGCCAGCTCGCAATATCGATGGGTTGAGTTCCCATCCGAGGGCCAGACTTCAATCAATTCTCCACAAGTTGTGGCTCCTGCGTGGGCGAGTATCTTGACGGCTACGAGGTTGAACTCAGGGGCCGTTTCGCAGGTTTGTGCAGCAACTTGCGATACTTCGTCGCCCAGTTGCACAGCCGGCTTATGTTTATGTAAGCTTGATCCATGGATGCGTTTCGTCTGAACTGTGTAGTTACAAGGACAGCTTAACCCCAGGTTGCTGTTGGAGATTTAGTGGGTCTTTGATTTTCACAAGCCTGTTGCGTATAGTAGCTTTGGGCTGATGTGCAATCCTAACACCTAGTCTCGCAAGAGTGTGCTAGGATGCTAAGACGCAATCAGCTACAGAGGTGTGTCATTGATCATTGATTGGGTTGCGGCCGCTATAATTGTTGCCTTTTTTCTAATGATACCTCTGACGACTTTGAGAGCTCAGTATAGTACATAAGCTAACCCGGTGCTCAACTTACCCTCCCATTTACTCCTGCATAAACATAGAACTCGAAAATCTTTCATTCCATCGCTTCTGTAATACATCTCCCAGTGAACAATCCAAAATATTGCTTCGTTTCCACCGGGTTTAATTTTCTTCCCTCAGTGCGACATCTTGTAGACTCGAAAAATGAATTATTCTTGCAGCGTTATAATAGGGAAGATTAAATTTTTCAAAATTAGGTTTGTGTTATGCCTTACAACGTTTATTTCAAAACTTGCATACTTATTTTGCCTGCCCTGAACTCATGGCACGTACGCACCAGTTTCGTAGGTTTCCTTTTCTGTCTGTCCTCCCGACTATATGCTTAGTGTGCATCCATGTGTCTTGACCTGCAGAGTATGCGAAGAAACCACATGACCGCCGAGTCCAACGAGGCTGCATGGTTGCAAGCTGTCCGAAAAATGGCCGCCAAGAGGTTCGATCCGCCTCGTCCACGTGCAGTCCGCGCAGTCAGTCGACGAAAAAGCATCAAGAAGGCCTCAAAGGCGCAACTGCCAAGCGTTATGGACCTTACGGGACCTGCTGATGGTGACCTAGAAATGACATTCGCTGGCACTGACCAGGGCCCCGTTGGTCCTCCAGTTGGACTTGGTACTGCACCCATGGGCAGCGCCAATGGCTATCCTCCGCACGAGATGCGCTACCTCTCTTACAAACATTCTAGGTGGTCGCTTCGCGTCCGAAAGGAAGTAAGTTCTAACCTGTGCCTCTATTCATGTGTATCTATGTGTGCTGGTAGTTCGTCTTAGCTTATCCAAGTGCCATTAATAGAGAGTTAATTGCACAGATGATTTCCATCGTGATGCCACCTGGAACTGACTTCTGAAAGGTAGGTTAGTATCAATTTCTAACAAAAGAATTGTGGGATACCAGAGAAGGCAGTGAAGACGAAACCCTCGGCTGACAAATCACTGTCCCATAAGCTAAATTCTAAACTAAGAGCTGTTTTGACAGCTGTAGCAAAATATGACGGTTACTTATGATTTAATCAGTGTTCGACCATCGATAAAGGACGTAGTTAGCGGCTCCGCACTCTTCACTTTCCCTCGGAGTCTCGAAGACTAAACGGTTTCCGGCGTAGGCAGAATTCTCCAATGGAAACTGAAACACCGTTTAACCTAGTCTTAAGAGGCAGTAGCCTTTTGCGCTGGTGCTACTGTACAATATACCCTAAGCCCACCCTTGGTAGATGTGAAGACAGGCCCAAGGAGGCCGAGAATGATACGGTTACTATTATTTCTACTACTACTGACTATTAATGTAGCCGAGTCGTAGTAGTACTGGTACTATTTCTGAAGCTAACATTTGTCAGAAGTGACGCTGAGTTGAAAATCAACGCTGGAGCTCATACTTCCTTTGTCCTCAGCAAGGAATGGGAAATTTGCGTTTATGTTATTTCGGGTAAATACAGGTTTGAGGTGATTTAGTAGGTAGCAGGGCTTTCGCTTAGCTTCATGTCTTAACATTTAACCTATCCTGAAATTTAACCGTACGATAATCTAAATTCGACCACTTGCCCCCTCTCTGTACACCAAAGCTCATCACTCCATTGGAGAAACTTGCACCAAAACGGGTTTTGGACTTAGTCTTCTGTCAAATCGTTGGCGATGTGCTGGAGAATGCCACTGCCCGTTTGAGACCCATAGACGTGCGTGCTTTGCGGGAAACAATTGGTAAGTCGCATAAACTTGTTATCCGAGGTTATATTCATGTTGTACTGGGTACTTATGAAAATTCAGTAGCATTGGAAGGTAAAAGTGAATTTAATTCTTTTTTGTTGCTTCTTACTTTAGGTGAAATTACTCTAAACAGTTCAGTCAACCAACTCGTCCTGCTACCGTCCGTTACTAAGCGCATGGTAATAGATGCCGCCAGAAAATGCCCATTCTACTTCGGCCGCTTTTATTCCATTGAAGTAAGTTTTCTTGTGCAACGATTGAGGTGAATTACCCTCGTTAATTTGAATGTGTTCAGTTATGTGGCTCTTCACGTTTTGAAAAAAATTGCTTTATTTAACATCTCTCGAAGGTCGAAAAGATTTATTGGCCACTATACTGTGGGCGTATGAAGTCCACAAGACAGAGAGTCTCAAAGTTAGATGGACATTTTAATATCCACGATGTAGCTGTGAAAGTAACTCCTACCCGACTGTGAATTATTCCGGTCAAGTAATAACGAAATCAGACCGAGATGCCGTTTTATGTCACGATAATACTACTGGTATATTCGGCTTATTATTTCGCGATTTGCCCAAGGCCACAAAAGAAAATATATGCTCCCGTTGAAGGCCACCGGCTTTTTCGGTAACGACTAATTACTTAGGCAAGGTAACGCAGAGTAACCCTGCAGCTTAATTGAGAGCGTCCCGAAGCTATTTACTTTCAACTTTTCCGGATTTTACGCTCCTCAACAAGCAGTCTTATATGCCTACGGAATTTTCTTCAATCCATCGACTGTCGAATGTTCAGGACGGCTCTGCTTTTCATTTTGATCCCTTTCTGCGATCCTTTTGGAAGCGCAGACGCACAGGTGCCTAAAACTATCTGCACGACATTAGTTATCGAAGAACTCGAAATAACATTAATTGGCTGTTCGCTCGCAAACTTTTAGTGTTTAGGCCTTCACTCATTTTGCTAGCGCCAATGCTGTACCTCTTTAAGCAGATTTGACAATGAGAACATGCATTTGCGAATGCCGTCCTTTGCTTACAAAAGCTGTCCTTTGTCTGTTTATTTATCTTTCCCACCTTGTTTGTTTTTCTGTAATAATGATCTCAAATGTTTTTTTTTAAGTTCATGGAGGGTCCTAAGAAATCCCGCATCTGTCACTGGGCCGTGGTCGGGCAGAATGCCGTCCGCTTTGTGCGGCAGAAGAAAGGCGAACGGGCCCTAGAGGTACTCGCGGAAGTGCCGTTAGGTGAAGTGGCTCGCTGCGATGCAGACTATAGTCAACGGCCTGTAGCTCCGCCAAATCGACAAACGGCTGGTCAGAAAATGCTCATTAACATCAAGGGCATTCGAGATCCTCAAGAACCCAACCACCTAACAATTGTCGATACTGCTGGACGCTCTTACGAAATGCACTGTCATTATGTATGTTTGCCCTTTTTCGGTTAAATTACTGCGTTTTCCTTTAATGGTTGTTGCCGTATCGAAACGTCAAGTTTCAAGGGTCCCTACTGCGTTGCCCAGCTGAGTTTATTAGACGTATTTCATAAGTAGGAACAGGGGTATGCATGGCAGCTTCT